TCCAGGCCACCGTCCTTTTCTTTTTTTCCATATCTGGGAAACGCGGGTTTTGTTTTGTTTTATTGTGGTGGTGGGGAGGCAAAACTTTTCCTCTACCTTCTTGGGGTCTCTAGTGGGACCTGAGAATTAAGTCGACATCAGACAGATTAAGAGGAGAAAAGCAGACAGATTTTATTTTTGTATGTTCCCAGGAGCCTTCGCGGGAAAGAGAAGACCCCAAAACTTAGGCCTAAGTGCTTATACACGAGGCTGCACAAAGAGTAATCCTGGAGAAGGCTCAAGGAAGTTGTTTTAACAAGGCTGATTTGTATAGATGTCCCTAGGCCTCAACATCCCCTCTCTGGTGATAAGAATGTTTTTTTCCTCCTGGTATAGGAAGGCCATCTTTCACGTGGGAGTTTTATCTCCTCTTTTCAGGAAGAAAAGGGGAGGCCAGAACGCCCTTCCTGCATCTGTTGTCTTTCAAGTCTCTCCCGCACAGGAGACATGTTCTGAACCTCCCCCACCGCCCCCAGCGGTAAGATACACATCACATAAAATGTACTGTTTTGGGGCGACTGGCTGGCTGTCGGGAGAGCATGCGACTCTTGCTCTCGGGGTCATGAGTTTGAGCCCCGCATTGGGGGTAAGGTTTACTTAAAAGAAATTTACTGTTTTAATCTTTATTTATTTGAGAGAGAGAGAGAGAGTATGAGCAGGGAGAGGGGCAGAGGGGGAGGGAGAAGCAGGCTCCCCACGGAGCAGGGAGCCATACTGACTCGGGGCTCCATCCCAGGACTCTGGGATCATGACCTGAGCTGAGGGCAGATGCTTAACTGACTGAGCCACCCAGACGCCCCTGTTTTAATCTTTTCAAGGGCACAGTTTGGTGGCATTAAGTACATTGTCCTGTGGCCCTCATCACCATCCATCTCCAGATCTTTGTCATCGTCCCAAACCGAAACTCCGTCCCCACTAAACGCTAACTCCCCACCCCCTTCTTCCCCCAGCTGCTGGTACTTTCTGTCCTGAATTTGCCTAGTGTAGGAACCTCATATAAATAGAATCACACGAGATTTGTCCTTTTGCATTTGGCTTATGTCACTTAGTGTAATGTCTTCGAGGTCCATCCATGTGGTAGCAGGTGTCCTCAGTATTCCTTTCTGAGGCTGAATAATATTCTATTATATGTAAATACCACGTTTTGTTTATCCGTTCGTCCATCGATGGACATTTGAGTTGCTTCTGCCATCTGGCTACTGTGAATAACTATGAGGAACATGGGTGTGGAAGTATCTGGTCAAGTTTCTGTGTTCAGTGCCTTTGGGTATCTCCCGAAGGTGGGGTTGTGGCCCTTGTGCGACAATTATTGTGTAGCCCTTTGTGAAGTCCCATGAGGGCAGGGCATCCCTGTTTAGGTCACTCATGTCTGTATCCCTAGCACTAAGCACAGTGCCCCACACTGCATAAATATTGTTAAATGAGTGAGTGAAAGTTTCCAATCTTAGTGAGTGGGACGTAACGTAGTGTCCTGGCAGACGAAGGTCTGGGCTCATCTCAGCTCCTGAAGAACAGATCTGGGGATCCCCCAAGGATGGACAAATCCTCCAAGAGTATTGATCTTACTCAATTATTCTGGGGAATAATAACAACAACAACACTTATTGAAAGCTCACTCTGGGGGCGCCTGGGAGGCTCAGGCTGTGAAGCGTCTGCCTTCGGCTCAGGTCATGATCCTGGGGTCCCGGGATCAAGCCCCGCATCGGGCTCCCTGATCATTGGGGAGCCTGCTTCTCCCTCTTCCTCTGCTGCTCCCCCTGCTGTGCTCTCTTTGTGTCTGGCTCTCTCTCTGTCGAATAAATAAATAAAATCTTAAAAAAAAAAAAAAAAAGAAAGCTCAATCTGTGCCAGGACTTGTGCCAACCACGTCGCCTACATTATCTCTTTCAATCTTCAAAATAATGCTATGCGGTTCCACTCTTATCCTGTTTCACCAGTGAGGAAACCCAGGCGTGGAAGGGCTCACAACCTGCCCAAAGCCTATGGTCAGGAAATGGCGGAAGGGGAATTTTTAGCCAAAACTTTCTGATTCCAAAACTCACACCCGAAAATTCTCCACTGCTGGGGCAGAAAAGTGTTGCTTTTTACATTAAAGCAAAATGGGAGCTCTTAATGGAGTAAAATTCAAAGTTTGAATGTCTTTTAAAGATAAAGTACACAGGATACCAAAGCCTATTTCCTGCCTGCCTCAGTGCTCTGTGCCATGGATCTCTGAGGGCCCTGGGGAAGGAGGTTGAGGGTTCCACCCTGGGTGAAGCCCATGAGGACCTCCTAAGGGGCTCCTGCAGTTCCTATGCATCTTCTGGAAGATGTGACTGTGGAACAAGGGAGTGATCTACGTTGCATGCTTTGCGTGGTGGCACCAATGGGAATTCGTGTGTCACGTGTGGGGCTGAATGGGACGCAGACCCGGCAGCTAGATGCCACTTTCCCCCCTGCAGAACCCCTAGCACCAGCCCAGCGGGGATCTGCAGGCCTCAGCCCCGCCCCGCCCAGCCCCTCCCGGCTTGGCCACAGTCTGGGTCCAGCCTCACCCTGAGCCTGGGAGGAGGGGAGTGTGAAGGAAGGCCTGTCCTTGGGAGGGGACGGGGGAGGGGACGAGAAGGGAGGGGAGAGGATGCTCAGCCACTTTCCTCCTGGAGTGTGTGTGGGGGGCAAATGCAAACACATGAGGATACAGGACGGTGGCTGCTAAGACAGAGCAGTGATTAAGGCCACTACTCAGTCCGCTGTTTGGGACTCTGGAGCTCATTTTCCCACAGAAACAAAGCCGAAGTGGAAGTTGGCTCCCCGCCTGGCCCACAGGAGCCAGATTCAGCTAATACCAAACACAGCCTCAGAAGACCCTTCACACTCTCTGCTCTCCACCATTTTGTGTGACCAGCAGGGGCTCGGGGCGGGGTGGGGGGGGGGGGGCTCTGGTAGGAGCTTGGAGACCACAGGCTCTGCCAAGGGCTCTGGTGGCCGTGGGAACTGGGGTGCGGTGGAGGGCACTTCTTACACAAGGGACACTGCTGGGAAGCAGGGTGTGTGTGTGTGTGTGTGTGTGTGTGTGTGTGTGTGTGTGTAGATTTCTAAGCACAGGACGTACCTAAGCCGTGGAACGTGGAGCTGGTGTCCCGGACTGGGTGGCCTTGGGCAGCTCCTGCGTGGTCCCATGCCTCAGTTTCTTCATCTGGAAATGATAGCGGTAGAAGGTTTAGACTAGATGGGTGGCTTTCTAACATGTTTTTCTTTTAAGCACTTTTTCTTTTAAGCACTTTCTCTTTCTGCAAGCAGTCTGGATGAAGCCCATACCAACTGTTCTGTCAGCAGGGGCAGTGAGGGGCTGGCCCCCCCGGCTTGCTCCTCCTGCTCTGCCAGCCCGCCCTGCCTCAGTGTACCTCCTTGGAGCTTGGGATCTTCTTGGAGCATCTCTCACACACGCCGCCCCTCCCGCTCTAGCATTATCCCAGAGTCGCAGAGGAAGTGCAGGGCTGCCGAGAACACTCCAGACCGGGAATAACGCTGAAAGCTGGAGTCCGGCCCAGACAGCCGCTTGCTAGCTGTGCAGCCCAGATGAGCCTGTCTCCTGCTCTGAGCTGTAAAGCGACAGACGCTGGGATTTGGTGTGACGATGCACAAGGTTCCATGAGCTCTGGAAGCTGGGCATCACTCTGCAAGTAGCAGGGACTGCTATGGCTGCAGGCTTGGCTAGGCAGGCCCGAATTCCAACCAGGGGCCCCCTCTGTCTAGCTCACGTTCCATGACATGCCAGGGCCCTGCAAAGTCAGGGACCCGAGGGAAGTGCCTAGCTGGGGGAGGGTGAACTGAGACCGAGCGGAGGATATGGCGGTGGGAGGGGCTCTGTGAAAGGTGGGAGGCTTCTGCAGGTGAGGGGACTCTAGCAAGCCCCCATCTGCTCATGTGTGTGATGGTGACAGGAGCAGCCATCCCCATTCTGGTGATCTGGGGGCCCTGGCTGCCAAGGAAACCGTTTGGAAAACATAAAGCTCCAGGAGCAAGGAGGCCCCACCCGGAAAAACAACATCCTGGCTGCTGGGGCAAAAGCAGAGCTCTGAGGGGCTATTTTTAGCAGCCGAGGCAGGGCCAGACTTGTATGACCTTGCTGTCTGGCTGCATAACTCACCCATGGTCCCGTCTGACCTTGGGCTAGTGCCTGAGAGGCCTCTGTCTGTCCCTGTCTTCCAGACCTGGACCCTCCCTAGGGGGCACCTGGGCCACAGAGAACCCAGGGATCAGGACTGGCCTGGAAACACACTCGCTGTGTAGCCTCCGGGGGCAAGCTGAATGCAGTGGGCACCCGGGGCCAGGCTGCGGGCCCTGGGGCAGCAGGGGACACCGGGCCTTCCTGGGAGAGAAGCAAAGGCTCTGCTAGGGTGCAGGGCCCGGGTCTCCCCAGCGCGGAGCCCCGTCCCAGCTGCAAGGCTGGGTGTGGAGACAGTGAGGCGGGCTCCAGAGGAGGACACAGACCCCTTTCTTGGAGCTATTCTCGCCTCCAGCCACACCCTGGGGCCCTCTCGGCCACAACCCTCCCCGACTGAGGTGTGTATGTGAAAGAAGCTTGAGCTCTCGAACTTTCTTGCCCACACCCAGGAGTGGTGTCCTGCTCTGGGGGGGGGTGTGGTCTGCATTTAGCCCTGGGCACAAACACCAGAAGGCAGGTTCAAAATCGGGCTGTGGCATCAAGGATGAAAATAGCTCACAGGAACAGGCTACGAGGCAAACGCTCAGGCAGCCAGAATGCCTGGGGGGCTGGCCCCCTTGGGAGAAGCCACCTCCAGCTGCCCCGGCCCAGAACCAGGGAGTAGGGCTGCCCCAAAGGGCTGGGCCAGGGCTCCCCCCACCTCCCCACCCCCCCCACCCCCTGTCAGGAATCCTGGGACCTCCTGCCTTTCAAGGCCAGCTCTCCAAAGGTGAGAATTCTTGGTGGGTGGAGAGAAGGATAGAAAAAGGAGTCATTCATTCAACAAATATTTATTCAGCACCTACTACGTGCCAGGCACTGTCCCAGGAACCTGGAAAAAGAGAGGTTGGGGTAGCCTGGATCTGCCCCAGCTCTGGCTTTCTCTCCCAGAAACAAGGCCTGCAGGGGGACAGGGTCTGAGGGGCACTTGAAGGGGACTGGGAGCCTCCTCCTCGAGAGGCGGAAGGCCAAGTATATGGAAGGTGGAGGCCTCCAGGAATGAGAAGCCTGGGGAGGTGGAGGACTCCAAGGTGCCTTCCGTGGGGCAAGATGGGGGCGCAGAGAAGCAAGCTTCCCAAGAGCTGAGGTGCCCTCTGGCATCACCTCCTCTTCAGCACGGATATGCAGGACTTCTTGAGGGGCCCGATCTGCAGATGGGCATCCACACTCTCCAGGAAGAAGGCAGGCTTGAGCCTTCGAGTGAAGAGTCCCGCAAAATGGCTGTCCAGGCGGCTCTGGAAGGGTTCGATGGAAGAGGCCAGGGTGCTGCTTCGGCGGGCCCGGGAGGCCTTCAACCTCCGAAGAAGGCTCATCTTGCCATCCCGCACGGCATAGAAGGCCAGGGCTCGGTTGGCATACTCTAGGCAGATCCCGACGGTGGGCGAGAAGGGGTGGGGCAGGGGCGCCTCGAGCCCGTGGAACCAGACGGAGAAGCTCCGTCCGTTCCACTGCAGGCAGCAGGAGTGGGCGTTGCGGCCCAGCCGGCCCCGGTCATAGGGCTCTTGCGGGGAGAAGTCTTCAGCCATGACCCCCACGCTGACCCAGCCCTCGATGATCTCCACCTCCCAGTAGTAGGTGCCCCGGTCCAGGGCGCCCTCGCCTAGCACCTGCTCGCAGTGCGTGAAGCGGGTGGGTGACTCGGGGTAGTTGATGGGACACAGTACCCTCTTTACACCTTTGGTCCCAAACAGCTGCAAGTACTTGTCTGCCGTGTCGCTGTCCAGGTCTACGATGTAGGCAACTGCTCCCGCGGATGGGAAAGAGACAGGGGGCTCAGCGCCAGGCGTAGGTGGGACAGCCCCTCCCCGAGGGGCCCACCGCCCCAAACGCAGCCTCTCCCCTCCTTAGCGACCGGCACGACTCAGCCCGACTGGAGAGCACCCCGTGAGGTGACCCAGTTCACCCTAAGAATGACGGGGGGTGGGAATCCAAGCCTTTGTGTGCTAGGGTTCAGCCCAGCAGCCTTGGGAGGGCCCAGAGGGGAGAGCCTAGGTGGCCACTTACACTTGAGGAAGTAATCCCTGGGAGCCTCACTCTCGAGGTTGTTGGTGCTATCGGGGTCTCGGGACTCGGCATCGGCTGCAGAAGAGACAGCGGGGAGGGGTGCTCTCCAGCGGCCCATGGCTGGGCAGCGGTGCAAGGTGCTCCTCCTCTGAACCTGTGACCGAAATCCCTCTCCTCCTCCTTCCTCCCAGCCTGTACCCGGAGACAGGCACACACCCATATATGGCACCCTGTCTTCACACGCAAGCCTGGTCCTTGGGTTCTGCCCCTGATCCACCTCCTCCCGGCTCAGCCCCTCTGAAGCTAGAGGGCAGGGCAGGGGAAGCCCCCTTGATGCCCTAGGTTGTGGCCGAAGGGGCTGGACGGGTCATTACTGAGTGGTGGCTCCCGTCACTGGTAGGAGTTGGGTCCCACCCTGCGCCAGGCCCGCAGTTTCCATCCTCCGCTCCTGAACGGGTACCAGGCCTGGGGGCCCGTGTGGGGAGACTGGGGAAGGAAGGGTGAGTCACTTGGGGGGGCACCCACCTTCCGTGCCCAACTTCCGCAGGTCCTCCTCCTCCTCGCCGCCCGGCCCCCGCAGCCGCTCCCCCTGGCTGGCACAGGCCTCAGTCAGCACCTCTCTCACAGCCCGCACAGCTTGGGAGGACTTGGTGAAGCTGAGCTCCCTCGGGGGGCCGGTCCCAGGGCCGCACCCCTCCTCCAGGGCCAGCCTCAGTGCCAGCAACCCCTGTGCCAGACAAATGACTTTTAAGGCCTTGCTGGCTCCAGCTCCTCGGGCTGGGGGAGACAGCGCTGCCGGGAGGATGGCACAGCCCCGGGGGCCAGGCACCCACCGCCCTCTCTCTCCATTCCTTGCCTGTCCCCCCTCTGCACCCTCTCTGGCCCTAAGGGCGGCGCCTACCTGCAGGAAGCTGACGGAGTCGGCCTCAGGGACCTGCCCGAGGTTGTGGCGGGCCCGGCTTAGCCTACTGCGCTGTTCCTCCTGCCGCCGCAGGTCACCCTGGGAGCGGCCCAGCATGGTGGCCTCCCCCTCCTCGATGAAGCCCAGCACCTCTGTCTGGAACCCCTGCAGGATGGCTGCAGCCTCGGCGAAGAGCCGGCTCACCCTCTCCCGCTCCGCCAAGGCTGCGCTCTGCACGGGATGACGCAGGGGACAAGGGTGAGGGCCAGAACAGCGTTATGCTGGCCCCATTCTTTCGAGACCCCACCTTCCCACCCTGCCCTCTTGCGGGCACAGAGGGACCAGGCCGAGGGGTCCTGGACCCATGCCAGGTCAGGGGAGCCGCTCATGCCCCCCGGGGGGGGCGGGGGGGCGGGGGCAGGGGCAGGCGGTGCCCGGAGCACAGGCTTTTTTGGAGTGCACCAGAGCATGCTCCAAGCTCCCATGGCCAGGAGCCTGCTGCAGGACGGCACGGGGATGGGGTTAGCATGGGGTCCGACCTTGATGAGGGCCACTGTGCGCCGGGACTGTGCAATGCTAGCGCCCAGCTCGTCCATGCGGTCCTCCACGGCACTCAGGACTTTGGACTGCTCCGCCTGTGGGTGACACCATTAATTCGCATGGGGCCCGGCAGAGGCCACCGTCCTACACTGGGCTACCAGGCCTCAGCAAGGGGGAGAAGAGGGATGACCGGGGGGGTGGTATCTGTGCGTAGGTGGGACTGGGAGTGGCCATGATGTCCCATAATATGCCGGGGTGCCTCAAGCCCAGGCGGGTGCCATACCCAAATGCCTGCGGCGGGGGGGCGGGGGGGAGGCTGACTGGCTGTGGGTCGTCGGCCTCCCCTCTCTGACCAGTGGGCAAGTACAGGCGCATCGATGCTCCTCAATGTCGCTCACACTCACTGGAGAGCTTCCTTCAGTGAGGTACAGGCAGAGAGAGTGGGGTAGGTGCTGCTCAGAGGGCATTCAGCTGTCTGTCCCCTGTCCCCAAAGAGTCTGTGTCCCCAGTCCAGGCCTGAAAAATGGGGATTCCGGGCAAGTCCCCTGGGTCTTGTGAGTCACTGTTCCAGGCAGGAGAGACGGAAAATCCCAAGGCCAGAGGCATCAAGACCGGGCTGGAGGCCAGAGGAAACTGGGGGCGGAGGTAGCTGACGGACTGCGAGCACATGCTCCCACCACGGGCCCCCGGAACAGCTGGACAAGAGCGGTCTGTATGCTCGGTCCACCCTCTGCCACACTCCTGTCGCCTGCCACACCCATCTCAACCCGATGCCTCAGCCCAGGCCCCATCTGAGCTGGAGCCGGGAAGAACCCAGCCTGGCCCAACAGCCGCGCTGTCAGGATCAGCCGGTCTGGGAGCCCGCGGGCCTGACTCTGCTCCCCCTTGCCTTAGACCCCCATCGGCCTGGACCCCGGCTTCAGGCCCCCTGTCCGCCCTTCCAGTCCTTTCCGCGTTCTCTCTGGGCCCCTCCAACCCCCATTCCCATCTCGAGCAGAACGTCCCACAGCGAGGGGATGGATGACATTGTCAGTATTGGAAAGGACAGCAAAGAGCCTCAGGTTAGAGCAGGACATTAGGACCCTACCAGGAAGAGGGGTGGGGGCGGGGATCCCTGGCCCTCGGAGG